TCCCTACAGTTGGTCATTGGTTGATGATTTAACATCATCACAGTGATGTTAAATCTCTTCTACGGTGTCATGGTCTTCATTCTCGTACGCATAGATAAGTGGAGAGTGAGATATTCCAGTTCAGTTTCCTTTCCTCTGGGTATGGATTGTTGCTGAAGACGCCAAATTAGTTTTCTTGTTAGCAAAATATGGAAGTTCTCCTGTTACCCACTTGAGTAGGAAGAGGGCTGAAGCATTTTTTAATGTTTTGTTGGGCTTATTTTAAGAATATGTCCACTAGAGAGCAGCAAAAAATGTGCATTCCCAGCAGCTTTGGCTATTAGCTGATTAGGCATTGTTCTCTGCTTTTAAGGGAGGGGGAGAGAAGCCTCACAAGGAAGCGGTGATCTGTTTGTGCCCAGGAAACCCTTCTCTCGTGTGGGACAGAGACTAGAAGGCGGCACTGAACTGGAACAAAAGTATTAACTGCAACAACTTGCACTCCTTGGGAATCCTGTAGCAAGAGAGAAGTGGGAACAAAATGAGCGAGGGAGCTAAGACACCAAATGCTTCATTTAGGATCAGTGTGTCTCTGCAGCTTCACAAGATCAGGAAGGTGAATAAGCATAACAAGGCCAACCCAAACCTCATTTTTCACTTAATGGAACTTAGCCTCTGTACAGTCACTCAGCATAAATATATCTTACTGAATATCTGTCTCTTACTGTTGGCATTCAGATGCATAAGCAGTTATGATGAGCCAAGAATATTATTTAAATAGACTCAAAAAAAAAAAAAGAAAAGGTATGAGTGAAGCAAGTGAGATAAAGACCTGCTTGTTAAGAAAAGAAATACCAATGCGTCAATATTTTAGGAAACTTTTAATGAGTTAAAAAAATAATTTATTTGTGTGTAAATTACCGGAGGCACACCAAAGGAAAATAGCTGTTAAATGTTCTCATCCTTAAACTCTGAATAATAATAAGACTTTCCTTACCTCTGTGGTGCGGGAGCTCGAGGTGGGGGATGGCATCTTCAAAAAGTGGTGCCGCTAAGCTTTTCTTTCCAGTCTGTGAGTTCTCATTTCATGTACCTTCTAAATATTTTTTTCAATAATCTTAATACTAAACAAATAATTTTGCAGCCCCATTCACGTGGTTTTTCTCGCTTTTTCTGACTGCTGTATGTTCTGGCAACGCTTTCGGAAACGTGGGTTCTCTTTCTCTAGTGCATCCTGAGAATTTTATCATATCTGTGCTGTAACAGAAGAGGATGATTTGCAATAAGTTGTTTTCATTCAAAATCTTGGGGGAAGGAGAAAGGGGTACCCCAGAGAAAGGGGTATGACTGAATCAAGCCTTTGAGGTGGAATATATATTTGAGATTTGTATAAATTTCTGTATTTTAATCATTCTGCATGCAGGTACACTAGTTAAGTGCCAGCTTTTGCTCTCCACAGGTCAACACGGGGAGTCAGAGCATATTGGTATTTTTATTATTGCCGCTACACTGTTTTCTGCCTGGCTTCAGTCCCGTAAATGCAGAAAGGAATGGAGAAAGAAATTTGAAGTAGTAGTTTTCTTGCTCCAAGAACTACTGCAATTTAGAGAATGAAACCTGATCATCTTAGATATGATTCATCTTTCCTTCCCCAGGCCCCCTCCTTTTGATAGCTTTAGGAAGCCAGGAACTTGAGTAACGTGAGGCTGTGTTTTCCTGTGGCTTCATAAATAACAGATCTAAACCACATTCTGCTTGGGTGTGTTCTCAGGTTGTTCAGGCTTTTTTTTTTTAATGAGGATTAAGCCTTTATATGCCCTTTCCTTGGTGCAGAATTGAAGCCATCAAGTAATATATAAAGTATTAATCTTGGGTACCCAGCAGCATCCTATTTGTCGCTTACTAAAGCTATACCTGTGGTTATTGTGACAAAAATTACATTATTTGTGTTCTGTTGGAAAATAGCAGAGGATTGCTATACAGGATACAGTGTTATTAAAACATCTAGATCTTTTTAATGAAGAACTGCAACAGAACTTCTTTACTTGGAGAAACACTGAGGATTGCAGCCTTTCCCCTTTAATGCAAAATTGCATAAGGAGAGATTACTTCAGCTTTAAATTTGATTTTCTTTCATCTGCCCGTCTCCTTTGCCACTAAAAAGCCTTGTAGTGTTGTTGTTCTTCAGCGTTACAGTTCTGTGTTTATGTAACCAAAAAGATTAGAGGCTTCCTGCTGTTTCGAGCTTCGATTCCTGTAGTCACTGAAGTTGTTTCTCAAGGCCGAACGTGTACCAATACTAACATGGATTTTTTTTTTTCCCCTCGGCGCAGCACTCCAGTGTTACTGCCATCTATGTACAAAAGACAACTTCACGTGTGTGACAGACGGGCTCTGCTTTACCTCAGTGACACGAACTGCAGACAAAGTCATACACAACAGTATGTGCATAGCAGAGATCGACCTGATTCCCCGAGACAGGCCCTTCGTGTGCGCCCCCTCCAACAGAGACGGAGTCGCGACTGTGCCTCATTGCTGTGACAAAGACCACTGCAATAAAATAGAACTTCCAATTCCAACACCAGGTAACGGGCTTTGGGCGTTTCTTGGAAGGTGTAGGTGAGTTTGAACACCTTAAATTCTGCGAATGACATTTCAAGAGGTTGGGGATGAGAGATTTAATCTTCTGGGTAGGGATATTAGGGCCAGGTTTGAAGGTTTAATATGCAATGGAAATTGGGAGTAAGCACATACTTGCTGTTGTCCTTTGTAATGCTTATTTTGACTTTTGAAAAAGTTACTATGCAAAAGTTTTAGCAAATACATTGCAATAATTTGAAGATTGCTGTGAAATATAATAAATTTAGTTGCACTAAAAAAAGAAATAGTTTTACCATTTTTTTTTTATTTTATTTTTTTTTAAATGTCAGGCCCTACTCCAGGAAAACCAGCTTCCAATCTAGGACCTGTGGAACTAGCTGCTGTTATTGCTGGACCTGTCTGCTTTGTCTGCATTTCATTAATGTTGATTCTGTACCTATGTCATAACCGTACTGTAATTCATCATCGCGTGCCAAGCGAAGAAGATCCCTCACTGGATCGGCCCTTTATATCAGAAGGAACCACTTTAAAGGATTTAATTTATGATATGACAACTTCAGGCTCTGGGTCAGGTAATGTCATATTTCTAGTAGTAACGACTTTGGGTAGCGTAACTAATTGTAAGGCATCAAGTGCTTTTAATATTGTCAGTTCTACTTATAACTAACTGGAGAACTGACTAAATAATATACTTGCGTGTAGATTCGCTCATCAGTGAAGACTCAATCTATGGGAATAAGTGAAATAAAAGAAGCATAAGGAGTTGCTGCTACTGTTCCTCATCATTCTGAGAGTACAGTGTGATCCCAGTCACCTATTGTAAATGTTTTGTTTCTTCTGTTAGTAAGGCTCAGCCTTTTACGTTTTTGTTCTACACGCCATATCTAAGTTGCCATCTTCCGTGGTTTTGAGATAATTTGTGAAGGTGTTTTTTTTTCTTTATCTTTAAACCGAAGATGCATTTCTATCTGTAGTTACTGATACCTGAATAATATTCTGAATTCCAAGTATGAATTAATATTTTAGCCAGTTCTCTCCTTACAAAGATACTTTTTCAGTTGCCAATAGCCATTTCTCTGTGTGTGGAATGGGTGCAGTACGCAGACCACATCTGAAGAATTTCTAGCCCTTGATTTCAGGAATTTTTGTTTTAATTTTAGCAGGTGTTGCTGTGGGAAGATGAGGCAGTAGTCTGTTCACTGCATAGAGTCTCTGCTGTTGTAATCCTGACGTAGCTGCTTACGGGGCTGTGGTGGTCTGTGTCGCAGAGATAGGGCTTAATAGGCATTGATAAGGAGTGATGTGTCAGATAGATGATTTGGTAAATTAATTAATCCCTGGACCTTGTTAAGGAGTGAGACATCAGCTAGCGTTCTGCAACCACTTAGCAGCCTTAGTCTGTATAAATAGTTTAAATAATTTAATAGTGAAGATAACTCTCTGGCTTGAAAATCTATGTGCTGTAAATATCCAACTCCTCTGTATTCTGAGTGTCTTGCTTCTGTCTACCCCTTCTAGAAAGAACATAACTGGAGAAGTCCAGCATTTGCATTTATCAAGTTCTAGCCATTTTCAGAGTAGTCTCTGCACAGAAATACTGGTGTTTAAAGAATTCAGCACTCGAGAATCAATTTCCCAGAACTCAAAAAATTTATAGCAACAAAACCTCAGCATCTAGGTTGTGCTTCTTTCCCAAGGGTGGCAGCTGGGTCCGTTGCTCTGTCACTTACTCCATCGTTCTGTCAAGTAAAAGCAGTGTAACTGGCTGAGCATGCGTAGGATACAGGTAAAGTTAAGTCATCTTTAGTCAGACCTTCATGAAGAAGGTGAGGTAGTTGCTGTCTGGTAAGAACTGGAGCTTTAGTAGTTTGTGTTTACCTCAGTTTTCTCATTTACTAACAGCAGTAACTAAAACAGGGAAAGCGATTAATAGAACTTAAAATATATTGGGCTAGAACTTGATAATTGCAAATGCAGGACTTGTCCAGTTATGTTCTTTCTAGAAGGGGTATGCAGAGGTAACGAGATTCGGAATACGGAGGAGTTGGATATTTACAGTTTTTTGAATGGAGGAAGCTATGATGTATAATTGTTATGCTGTTAGGAGCATGAAACTTTTTACTTGCTGTCTGCACACTTCTCCTACAGAAGGCTGAAAAGAAATTCTAAAAATAAAAAATCCTTAGAAGAGCAGGTGTGTGTTCTACACATGTAAGCAGTCATTTGCCATGTACTAGCTGCTATCACTTCAGTAAACACAGGAAAGAAATCCCTTAAAGTTTTCCCTTGAAACTGTGTTTAGCCGTACTTGTTTTAAAGTAGTCTGGTCGATAGTTCCCTCCCGACTTCTGTAGGTAACCGCAGCACTTCTGTGGTTGCTTTCTCACACTTCCTCTGATAAGAAATCAGGCCTACGATAATGTTAGTTCAGACTTAGTCATCGGTTGATCTGTCCATTCGTTATCAGGAATATTCCTTCGTTTTCCTTCTGACCTTCTTCCCTGTGGTGCTTCTGAGCCTCTCTTCGTGTTTGAAAACCCTGGGAGTACATCTTCAAAAGACACTCCTGAAAAGCAGGGAATCCCAGCTAGAGGAACCTTAGGATTCTTCCTCCAGAGCAAATGATTAGATGACTGACTCTTCCCTTGCCTATTTGCAAATTACACTTTAAGTAAAAGCAGCCTGCTGGGCAATTACTTGGTTTTCAGAGCTTCAGAGCGCTCGAGCTGGTCTGGGCTCCCAGGGCATCTGACCTGCTACAGTACTTGAGCGTTGGCTACTCGTGGCTGCAGCAGAGCAAGAACACCAACAAATGTGATGGAATTAGACTTACCCCTAAGGAAAAATCTTCACTAATTTGTTTCACGCTCGAAAGACAAAGTCGTATTCCCCGTAAAACAAGACCTGATGTTTTTCTCAAGAGGGATCTTTTAACTTCAGCTGCAGCAATTTCCATGTTGTCCAGCTGCTTGTAAGACAAGTGTGGGCCTTCTTCAGTGTTCTGTACTTTCCTTTTGTTATGAGGGCAGGATAGGAGGTGCTTCGAGTACTGACTTTCTGGGCTGTGGGTGGTGCGTGTATTTGCGGTGACTTGTATCACTTTGTCTCACTATGTAAATTCCCAGTGCCCTAGAAGCTGAACCGATCTTGTTCTCGTGTCCAGAAATAGGCCTGCAGCAGTTGAATCTCATTGAAATGTGTATTTTGATCCAGACTTCAGTGCAGTACATTTAAAATTCAGAAGAGTGTGCGTTTTTGGAACAAACTGGGTCACTGGAGGGAGAAAAGTCAGAGCTGCTAGTTAAAACAGCGCTTAACCATGTCAGAAACTGAAGGATGTTGTTGGGCGGAGAGGTTAGAAGAAACAAAATGGAAATGTACGCAGAAGAGAAAATAATCACGCCGAAGAGGCACAGCTAAAGAAGGGTTTATTCTGGTGACCTAAAGTACACGTTTTACTCTTAAATTCATGCTGAGGGACTGGAAGAGCTCAAGTCAAATAAAGATTCTCTCAGTTTCATGTTGCAGCATTCTCTGAAGAGAACCGTATAAAACAGAGGAGCGATCAAAACTCAGAAATGAGCTTCCTACTCAGATCAAAGGGGAAGTAGCTTTAATTTTCTGCAATGATGAATAGTAAGATGTTCTTAATTTTCAGTCTTGACTTGTGTTAGTATTGCCCTGTTGTTCTATGACGAACAAGAACTGAAACAGCTAGAGGCTTAATGAAAGGAATGCATGAAATATCAAAAATAGATCCTTCTGCTGAAGCCACGGCTTCTAAGAGAAGATGCCAAAGGCTTTGGGAGCTGGGAGTGATTTTCAGATCATGATGCAAAACTCTAAGTATCAGCCATGCCTTGTGTAGAGAAGTTGGGAATCTGAGCTGTTACTTTTTCATTTGCAAGGTGGAGAGTAACTTACTTGCAAGAAAGAAGGAGGAATTGCTTAAAGCCAGGGAGAAGCTTTGGCCAGTGACTTGAAGCGGGAATTTCAGGTGTTCAGAGATTCAGAGGGTCACCAAAATCAATATAAAGTTGAGTCACTTGAAGTGTGTGTAAAACACCTGAAAACCTTATCAGTGGTTTGTAGAAGCTTGAAGGGAATGAGATTTTTCACAGTTGGTGGTGTTGTATTTTGGTTTTTTAATTACTCTTCAGAGGAAGTCTTCTGGGCAGAGGCTTACAAACAGGAATATAAACAACAAGAAAATTCTATCAGCATCTTTTGTTGGCCACCTTTAGTGCTTAAGAACTTAAATCCTGAATTATCCATATTGAGTACGAACTTCTAATGCATTGGACAGGCATTGGTCCAAACTAATGGAAACACAGTGTAAGGTACAGAAAAGAAAATGAACTCTTTTATTAACACTCAGAAAGCTTGAGGGTACTTTGGGATTCCAGCCTTGGGGTTTGTTCAGCAGCATAGCAAGAGAAAGCACAGTTGCAAAAAACCAGAAGCATGTTGAATCTTGCAAAAATGATAAAAATAAGAGTAGGAGCAGGGGGAATAGATCACAGCAGGGTGTTTCTTGTACTGTGATGGAGAGTGTCGTAATACGAAACTGCGGTGCTTCGTGTCTGGAAGGCGTAGAGTGTAGCATCTGCTTGGAAGTCAGCGACTACCCTTGGACATCTTGTTGAAACGAGGGATGTCTTTAAATGGTACAGCTAGGTGAGAGCAGCGCATCTGAAAGTGTGCGGGTAGTTTTCTGAATCAACTGCAGGAAGGAAAACGTTGGGCCTATCACCCATCTCAAGTGTACAAAACCGTCTTGTATTTAACATTTGCCAGTGATTTGTGCAGTAGTATGTAAGTGCCAAGGAGCAAGTTTTCTCTGGCCACCAAAGTCAAGTTTTACATGTGCAGGATTGAGTTTGGTGCTGTGGTTGTTCTGCTCTGGTATTTTCTGCACTTCAGGAGTGTGTCTGTGAGTTAGGCTTCACAGAGGAGCTGTTACAGCTTTGGGCACGCAGCACAGTTGACCTGGGGACAGCTGTTACAGAAAAAATTTGAACTTTCTCAGTAGGAGTTGCTTCAGCGGCTGATAATGATTGAATCCCTGCTGTGGCGTCTGGTTTTGTCTCTTCCTTTCTTCGTAAAGGCATGCTGTTAGTAAAGATCAAGCTTAAGAGTCCTGTAGGCCTGCAAGTCTTGAGGAACTCCTCTGAAGACTCCAGAATTTCAATTTGTACTTCTCAGATTAAAACACAAGCTGCTGTGAGCAGACCAGATGTCCTTGTAGTGCTGTTGTTAGCAAAGACCAGAGATGGACTCTCACGGGAGTTTCTGTGCATTCTAAGAGAAATATCTTAAAGGAATACGGGTCTTGTGTTTAGTACTTTGGATAAGTGCTTATTTTGTTAGAGTGATGTTCACGGTTAATGTTGAATCTTCTTCTTAGGTTTACCTTTACTTGTGCAAAGAACAATTGCAAGAACGATAGTACTTCAAGAGAGCATTGGTAAGGGTCGCTTTGGAGAAGTCTGGCGAGGGAAGTGGAGAGGAGAAGAAGTTGCTGTGAAGATCTTCTCGTCCAGAGAAGAACGCTCGTGGTTTCGTGAAGCAGAAATTTACCAAACAGTTATGCTACGGCATGAAAACATTCTTGGATTTATAGCTGCAGACAACAAAGGTTGGTGATACTATGAATTCATTTTGCTGATTTACGTACCTGGTCAGAATAGGTAAATGAAAGGGAAAATAAGGTGGTGAGGATCCAATTAAAGAGCAGCATTTTGTTATTATAATAATTTTGTTATTGGAGCATTATAATAATTTTGTTATTGGAGCATTTCAGGGTATGGCAGGCCTGTTATTGGTTTAATGAAGGAAAAACCTACATTTTCCTTTTTCTGGAAAGCATGCTCTATCTAAGTCTAAAAAATAAAAACACATTTAATGAGGTGTAATGCCTACAAGCAATGTACAATACTGGCTGAGTTGGGCACCAAAAAGAAGATGCCTTGTCCAGTCAGCCCACACATCTGCTGAATTGCCTGTATTTCCCAGGTAGCCTGATAAGACAGGTGTGTGGCACCTAAAGAGATCACATCTGATCTTCTTGTCCTAATATACGCAGGAGGTAGAGGATTCATTTTTAAGCCTGAGAGATGAGAAGCTACACATTTAGAACTCCTGTTAGAAAAGAAATTGGGAAAAGGGCATTAATGATTTGGTCCTAGTGTTAAACTACCTATTTCATAAAACTCTCCTGATAAGCCTTTAAGTATTCACCAAGAGGAACAATTTAATCGGTTTTTCAGCTTGATTTGTTGTGGTTTCCGTCAGATGAAAATTTCTTGTGTTTTAAATTGGACTGCAGGAAAACTTAAATTTGGCGAAACCAACAAAACTCTTGAATTTCTTGCGTTACGCAGAGCTCAAACTATACGCTGTTTCATTGAGTTATTTTAATCTAAAATGACATGTTTCACCACAGACGGCTTCGGACTTTTTTGTAAAGAAAGCATTAATAGAAGATTCTGTTACCTTAGGGAGGAGTTAAGAATCCACACACATCCTGGTTTCTTAAAGGGCTGTCGGTTTTGTGGGAAATTTCTAAATGGTTTTAGTGCAGTTGAAGTATACATGTAAATAGAGTTCTTTTTAATTATCACTAGATTAATTTCAGGTTTCTACATCTGAATAAATCTGTAGCATTGGAACAGAACCCACGAGGTTGTGCAGAACACCTCCCTTCTCCAGGAACGGCTTAGCTATCGCTAACTTGCTCCTAACAGATTTCTGTGCAACGAGTTAACCTCTAAGAGTTTGCAGAGCTACAGCAGAGCAGGCAGCTTTTTCCTGCAGCTTATTATTCTGCTGCCCCTCTGCTCTGCCCTGGTGAGGCCACGTCTGGGATGTTGTGTCCAGTTGTGGGCCCCTCAGCTCCAGAGGGACAGGGAACTGCTGGAGAGAGCCCAGCGCAGCCCCAGGGATGATGGAGGGATGGAACATCTCCCTGGGGAGGAAAGACTGGAGGGTAGTTTGTCCCAGAATACACTTGACTACTGTGCAGAGGAGATGTAACAAGTGGGTTCCTAAAATCACTTCCTGGTTGCTGGCTCAGGTTGCAGATGCAGTCGGATGAAATTCCGTTTGATTTGGTCATATTTACGTTCCTTGTGATATATTATGGTGTGATATGAAATTGTTCTGGCTTCTGCTGTTAATATGCTGTACCTACAAAGAATCCTTAGCTGATAGGTCATGCCATTATTGGAGGCTGTAAGGCTTTAGGGCAAGGCTTTTCTCTTTTCTTGAGAACTAGCTGGTAATTGGTTTACGAGAAATGGATAAAGCCGTATTTTGAAAATGCTGCTATTCTCGTCTCCGTTTTCCGATGGTGTTGCTGTCTGAGCAGATGTGGAAAGCTGGCTGATTATTTCTGACCCACAGAGTCATTGTGCTGCAGGAATCTGTGCGCGTGAGACCTCGCAAAGCCGGCTGCGGAGAGACGGAGCGGTACAAGGGGTGGCTTGTGCAATCCCAACTCGGCACTCGCTGGAAGTTTCAGTGATAAATGGAGAAGAATTCTCATGCTGCAATTCTCACTGCTAGTCAAGGCATTAATTAGGTCTCTCCTCTTAGTTCAGCTGTGTGTTTTTCACAGCTGCTGGGGGACATCTGGCTCGCCGTTGTCATGGTAAAATTGGGGGGTGTCTTCAGGTAGGAATAATTGGTCCAATCCGTCTGCTTTCCATTCCCAAAATTTACTGGGAAATAGGTGCTGCTGTTGAACCAGCTTGATGACTGGCAAGCCATGAATGATTTTAACTGCAGTTGTGTTTTCTCTGGCTGGCATGTTTGTGATCTGGGTAGCTCTTTACCTTAGCCGAGGAGTATACACTAAATTTCAAATACTGCTTGGCCAGGGAAATTACTTTCTGGGCCATGCGTTTGCCTTGTTTTGAACCACTCAGGTTCGGCTGTTGGGTGTGTGCTTTTTGTTAGGTGGTATGTTGCAGAGAGGTGAGCAGAATTCTCTTGAGAAAAGTGACATTTGAGTCATCCCTCCTGAAGCTTTAGCCTGAGAAGCAGGAATTTGACTGGAAGATCTTGCTAATCTACTGAGCTCAAGTGCTTTTTCATCAGTTTAGTCAGATGGCTGTCTCAGTGTCAAGTGTTTTCCCTGACATCTCCCTGAATATCTCATTTGTAAGTGTTTTCAAGCTGCAGATCTCACCTGTATCTGATCTTTTCGCTGCTTTTTCCTCTGCTTTTTTCTGTTACCTGCATGCCAGAAAAGTATCCCACTCCTTGCTGTGAAACACTTCACTACATGACCCCAGAGAACACGTGCAATAAAGCAGTTTCTGTAACTTATTCTAAACATTTAACTTCGAACATGTCTGCACCTTGAAACTCTTGTGTCAAGCAATACTGTCACACCTTAAACCCCAGTATTTGGTTTAAAAACAAGCGTGTGCCAAGTCCGAATTTGTTTTGCTTGTACCAATGTGAAAAAAGCGGGTTTTTTTAACTTAAGTGGATTCAGTAATTTCAGTTTTAATTAAAAATTGATTATGTATTTGGTAAAGCAATTGTTATAAATTCCTTTCTTCAAGAGGCAGCTTGTCTAAGGAGGATGTTGTGTGGATTTTCTGAGGTAACTAGTCTTCTAGACTTCTGCAGAAGTAGCTAGCTATGAAAATGCTTCTCAGGTCTGCAGTGTAAGAGTTACTTTTAGAAGAAGAATTGGAAAACCTATTTGGTGGCAGGGTTGTTCTTTTCTGTATAGTATATTTTCAATATTTATTATTAATTTATTATTACTTTCCTGTAAAGTATGTTTCTACTTCTTAGGTCAAAAAAAAAAGCTTATGCCCCCCTCTTGACTTGAATTTCTTTAATAGTTTTCTCTCTGTGCCTTGAACTTCAAGTTATTTTGTGTCCAGTGTAATGATTTGAACAGTTTAGTCCTGATCTTTCAGTGAAAAATCACGCAGCAAACTGGCTTTGTCATAGTCAGTATTTTTCATTCGCTTTACTCGTGTGCCTCCTGGTCACCTCAGTTTTGACCAGCAGCGTGAGGTGGGATTTAACTTGGTTTTCGAAGCAGTGTGTCCCATTGCTGCTTGCAAGGTTCTGCTCCAGGAGGGAAAATGGGAACTGTGGAAATTATCTCCCAGGCTGAGGCCAGATACAGGTTATGAGAAGACTGAAAGAGTTATGGGGCAAAGCTTGAAAGATTTTTATTTTTTTATCTGTGCATAGCCTGGACAATATTGTACTAGACCAATAGTGACGGGGTTAATTTTGCATCATGCATTCAACACTGTTTCCCCCAACGGAAAAGTTGGGGGAAGGCAAGGCCTGGCTAATACTTGGAATAATTCACCTCCAGATCACAACGACATTAGCTCTCTATGGTTTGTCATTGAATTTAAATAAAAATGTACTCACTAAGCTGCTCAGAAGGTGGTCACAGCCCTTAGAGGCCCATTACAGGGACAGAAGTAAAGATTTCAGAGTCTCTAAATTGCCGAGGTTACTTGCAAAATGTAATTTGTGCTTCGTAAGCATTGTACAGAAGTGGCAGCAATGGTTTGCTTGTCTTTCGTGTGTGGGGTATTCATGCCAGCGTTGTTTTGCAGACAATGGCACATGGACTCAGCTGTGGTTGGTGTCAGACTACCACGAGCACGGATCGCTCTTTGATTACCTGAACAGGTATACGGTAACAGTGGAAGGAATGATCAAATTAGCCTTGTCCACTGCCAGCGGCCTCGCTCATCTTCACATGGAAATTGTTGGCACCCAAGGTAACCTTAGAGCTGTTCAGCCTGTGTGATACTGGATTTCTCTGAAATGACACAGAAATAGCTCTTGTTAGTATAATTCTCTTCTTAGATAGAACATTCAGCCTTTTCAGGGTGTAATTGCTTCACACACAGCTCCTTGGGCGATGAAAAGGCAGCTGAACTCAGCAGAGACACCCAGGTTAATACCTTGTGGAGCTGATTGAATTGCAAAACATCTGTTTGGGAGCAGTGATCATCTCAGAACTAACACAGCTTCTTAATTGGGAAGATTTTGTTACCTTCCTTTCCGTGGTGTTATCCAGGTTTTGTGATACAACAATCCTTCCTACAAAACACCTCTTAAAAAGTAATGGTGCCTGTAGTATTGTCTTAACTTTTATTTGAAACAGCACTATGGGTCTATTTCCAGAGATACTAGAAACTTTCTGTGGCAAGTAGTAGAAAGAGGAAAAGGAGCAGTAGAGTACAGTAATATGGGAGATATTTAAGGCACTTTTCTGGACAGCCAGCCAGTCCACAATGAATGATTTCAGGAGTTACTTTAATGCACGTAAAGCAGTAGAACTGGAAGGAATTCTGTAACTCCAAACAAAATCTGCACTAGGCTTAGAATAATAGCAATTACCTTTTTTAGGAGATGTGTTATTTCTTCTTTTTTCTTTTTTGTTTGTTTTCTTTACAGGCAAACCAGCAATTGCCCACAGAGATTTGAAATCCAAAAATATATTGGTAAAAAAGAATGGGACGTGCTGCATTGCAGACCTGGGATTGGCGGTTAGGCACGATTCAGCCACGGACACAATTGACATTGCCCCAAACCACAGGGTGGGAACGAAAAGGTAAAATCGTGAACGTGATGTGTCAGGTGACTTTGTAATAAAACGCTTTGGTTTCCCTTATTAACGTACATGAATATCTGAGGGGTGGGGGTCAAGGCGAGGGGGACAATCTCTTCTCAGTGGTGCCCAGCGATAGAACAGGGAATAATGGGGTTAAGTGAGAACATGGGAAGTTCCACCTCAACATGAGGAGAAACTTGTTGGCTGTGCGGGTGCTGGAGCCCTGGCCCAGGCTGCCCAGAGAGGGTGTGGAGTCTCCTGCTCTGGAGACTTTCCAACCCGCCTGGACACGTTCCTGTGGGGCTGCCCTGGGTGACCCTGCTCTGGCAGGGGGTGGCACTGGGGGATCTCTAGAGGTCCCTTCCAACCCCAACATGCTGTGATTCTGTGAACATACAGGGTGCAGAGTCTTGGACACGACCTTTCATGGGATCATATTTTTGAGAGAAGTACAAGAACTTAGAAGAGCAGTCGTCTTTATCTCATGCGTAAATAGGAATATCAATGGATGAGTCAGTTACTCCTTTTCTTACAAAAGCCTGCTTCTGAATTTGTAAACATACATTTTTCTGCTTAACTCCATCAACAAAAATGCAATTAAACTTACTAGCTCTGTCTAGGAGCTTTAGCTGTGGCTTTTTGGAAGAAAAAGCCCCACTTTTTTAGTATCTCAGTGAGCAAAAGCTTTTAGAACAGGTACTCAATTTATTTTGCTGGCAATTATATCACTGGAATTACTTTGCTCTAAAACTCTGCTGTGCTAGTTCTTTGCCAACTTCAAAAATACCACACAAATGCTCAGATTAGATTTATTTTACCTGAGCTACTACTAGATTACGAAGTACTGTAGTCCTCACTCCTTCACAAAACCTCCAGTAGCCATTGGTAGTAAATTTGTCATTGCAGACTTAGCTGTGTGCAGCGTACGTACCGTGTGTGACCCAGTATCTTCTGCTACATCCACGTGCAGGGAAGGACGATGTGTAAATTGGTTACTTTCTCCATTCTAGTCTTTGGAGAAAGCGTCCTTTCAGCTGTGTCTGTACGTACAAGATCCTGTCTTGCTTGGGCACTGCTAAATCGCTTGTTTGTCTGCCTTGCGTAGGAACTCTCTTGCCATTTCCCGCTTCAAAAACAGTCACTTCTATGTCTCTGAAAATTGTTTGTTCTCATAAAACTCTTGGTTCCCTCTTCCTCCCCCTTGTACATTCTTAGGGAAGTAACTCTGCACCTCTGATTAACTTTTCATGCTGAAGTTTAGATCTTGCCTGTTCAATTACAGTTTTAACTCCCATTGCTTTTACCTCCGCACGCGGAAGCTCTGCGTGCCAGCTCAGGGAGAGCCGGAGGAGTTTGTATTTTTCTAATGATTGTGTGGTGTTTGGCCTCGGGAGCAAGCAAGACTGGCTCTTGGGTGAGCGATCTCGGTGCTGAGTCAGCCTGCTGATCCTTCTCTCTGAATGAATGAATCTTTATTTCTGGTCTGTTCAGAGGCGTAGCTTTACCGGAGGGTGTGAACCGTGTGCTTTCACAGCTGAGCCTGCAGCATAAAGCAGGGAACGGGAGCTTTAAACTGAGAAGGAAATAGAATCCCTCTCTCACTTCCTGAGGCAAGTAAAAAAAAAACCTAGGCTCATTCTCTTTTTTCTCTTTTGAGAAGCTTGGCCCAGCTGTTAATTTTGGCAGTTGAAATAGGCTGTGTTTAGAAAAAGTTTGGCTCTGAATTCCACCTTGGCGTGGGTGCTCTTCTGTGGTTTATCTAAACCCAACGTGAGCAGGGTTTTAGCTGTGCTTGTGGAGAACAGGCTTGTCGAAGTGAGATGTTACGCTTGACATGATGTGCATGGGGCCTCTTTGACGACGCCGAGCTCCCTCTATGTTGTACAAGAAATTTAGGCAACTAATACAGAGCTTTTGGACGCTGAAAGCGGTGAGGGGAAGAGGTCAGTGAGCACCCAAAGTCTGGCAGGACTTTGTAAACTTCTGTGTAGACTTACCCTTTGCTCTTGGAAGGTACTGAGCTGCAGACTTTGTTCAGAAAGCCCGAGTTAGCCTGTGCAGAGTAGTTCCCTGTAGAACCTAAAGTGCTGTTTCTGACAGGCAACGCATTTCCAATATATAAGCTGACAAGGAGAGGCGTATTTCTCACCCTTTGGTCTGATAGCCCTGGAACAGCTAATCTGCTGCTTGCACTAGATGTCCTACTTGCCTTTCACCTCTCTTTTTCCAGCAATAATCTCTTGGGCTTTTGGAGCAGTCACCCACCATTCCCTCAGGGAAAGCAAAGAAACCGAGGTGCGTTGATGGAGGGGCATGGTAAGAGGTCATAGTGCTGATGAATTCAGCACAAGTCAGATTGAGGGGACATCCTTTTACTTTGGGTGTATGGGTTCAGCTCCATTGTCACATGATGGCCTCTTCCAGTCTTTCCTGTGAAACCCTTGTCCGTAGGATGATTTACAGACGCTGAGACAGTCTCCTTTACTGCTGATATAAGTGATTTCTGGCTGACAGCCTTGCAACATGGTTGGGATTTTTGGTTTGGTGTTTTGTGGCCATCACTCTTCTCACCCCCACGTGATCATAAGACAGGTCAAATCTTCTCTCTTCTAGACCCAAAGCTGATCGCTACACTGCCAAATGCTTCAAGCGGCACAAGAAGGTTATCCAACAATGCAAAGTCTTGGGAGAGCACTAAAACATTCACCACAATCTTGCATTCTTGCTTAAAAAGCCTGTGAAACGGGTGGCCCGGAATAATTTGAGCCTTGTCCCATATCAAAGATTGTGACATGTGTAAACTTAAGAATCTGCTTCCGTTCAATGAATACTGTCAGTGTAAACCTTACTTTCCTCTTCAGCCAGTTGTCCTCTGCTTGTGCTGTGTTTATGGCTTACAGGGAGTTTATATGGCTTAGGAGAACTCTCACGTCAGCGACACTTGTTGAAGTTTTGGACTACTGGTTGCATTTTTGCTCTTTCGTTGTTAGTCTTCGCTTCGTCGCGCGTATATCACGTCCCTAAGACACAGTAGTGCTGAGAAAGTTCTGAAAGATCGGATAGTCCTGAAATTTTAGTAGTGTGTCCTGTCTTCTGCCTGCCATGCCTGGTACTAGGAAAAGAAAATCCTAGTATTATGGTGCTTAAATGAAATTGTGTGTAGTTCCAGAGGTTGACCTATTGCCCAACACCACGTTCCTCTCCTGGAACCGACTCATGTTGCTCTCCAAAAGCCCTGCTGTCGTCGTTTGCCCTCTTCATTAATATGTCACCCTGAGAAGGACGGGGCCATGGTGTGGAGGAACACGCTGAACTCTGCTAAACATTATCTATGGGACTTGGCTGCCAGAGCTGCACCAGACTGAGCTGCAGTACTGCAGCTGCTGTTGGCTGATGCAGCAAATGCCATTTATCCCCTCCAGCAGCCCGTGGGGATGCCGCTGGCGGTGACTCTCACAGCGCCACCCACGCTGACGTTTTGCTTCACGTTCCCACGCTAGCCTAGTCACCAAACAAGGTGACAATGACTTGCGTGCCAGTGACCAGCTTTCAGTCCTTGTTTCTCAACTGAACTTGTGTCACAGATTTATTTTTTTTTATTTTGGTGTTGCAGAACATGTTGATAAAATAAACTTTTTTTTTGTGAGCACAACTGTTAATGTGTAACCCGACTAGGATTTACTATTCAAGGGCAGGGGGGGAAGCCTGATATTGTTTGTGATGGGGCTGGTAGTTTACGATGGGTGATGAGGAATTGGTTGCTGCAATGTTAGGGAGCTTTTGTTCCCAAGGAACCCGTAACAATTTGCTCTTTTAACCATCCCTTCACGTCAGTTCCCTCTCTAGTCTGCCTAGGGAATGGTGTGAGTGGCTGCTCTGTCTTGGCAGATTCCAGGAGCTTGGGGCTTCCTCGTGGCTGGCCTCTGGAGCCCAACTGGTGCCTCCAAAGGTCCCTCCCAGGCCTGGGGACGCGGCTGCTGCTTTCTTATTTGGGAATGAACCAGCAGTGAGGCTGGGCCTACACAGACACCCGCAGTACTGCCAGGGCTGATCACACAGATTGCTCTACAGCATGTGCTGCCTTCAACACCCACAGAAAATGCTGTCAGAACTTGTATAAAATAGGAGTATAGACAGCAAAGTCTCCTTCCTTCTCTTCAGCTGATCAAGATTGAAAGTCATGAGCAAAAACAGAGCCTCCCTTCTGTAGCCTTGCAGGCCCGTGTGTGTTTATAAACCCCTCAGCTTTCAGTACAACCCTCGGTGGGGCTGATGCCCCCTCCCGCGCTCCACAGGCCTCCTGCTCGCTGGCTGGGCTGGCTTAATGCGCGGTAGCAAACAGATGCAGCAGGTACTCGTGTGCAGGCCTACGTGCATGGCTTCCCTCGGGTCCAGTGCAGCCCTCCCTCGTCCTGGAGGCATTGAAGGCCAGGTCAGGCTGGGCTTGGAGCAGCCTGCTGGGGTGGGAGGTGTCCGTGGGAGCTGGAACATGATGATCTCTTAAGGTCTCTTCCAACCCAAACCATTCTGTGGTCTCTTGATAACCATTGCACAGCCCCACAGGCCTCCCTTGAGTAGCCACAATCCTCATGTTCCTTTTATTTCACACTTAATAGCAGTTGCAGCGTCCAGACTGGCCTTCTCTAAAGCTTTGCCTGGAGTTTCTTAGTAGCCCATTAGTTAGCAACTGGCACCTTCTGGTCTTTGTCTCTCTTATCCCGTGCCTATCAGGTTTATAACTATTTGTTCATCGTTTCATGTTTTACTTATTCTCCATATTCCTTTTCTTGTCCCTCTCAGTTTTTGAATTGAAAGGTCTTTGACTGGATAACCTTAATGAAGCAGAATTTTCTTTGTCTCCTTCTCCACATAAATATTTTAAATTTGGTTTTGAGCTGATGAACAGCACTGCGCTTTCTCTACGGTTAGCATTTATGAAATTAAACGTTTTCTTCTTTCTTCTAGGTACATGGCACCTGAAGTTCTAGATGATTCCATAAATATGAAACATTTTGAGTCGTTCAAACGAGCAGACATCTATGCAATGGGATTAGTGTTCTGGGAAATAGCTCGTCGATGTTCAATCGGTGGTATGTGGCAATCTTGACAAAATTACAAGGAATTACAAGTGACTTAAGTTTGAGTAAACAGTTTCCTGTAAAAACTGCCAGGTAATAGCCAGGATGTCTCAGACCTAGTAGCTGTTAATCCTGTAGGTGATGACTGGTTTATTTGACTTCTGTAAACTGCTCTACCGTACTTGTTGAAGAGGATTGAAATATCCTTGTTGATAATGATTTTATTTGTTTTCCTAAAACCGTTGCATAGAGGGAAGGAAAGGAGGAAGTTAAATGTCCTGGAGAGCAAGGGGCAAAAACATCACAAGTAAAGGCTAGCTATAATGTGTTCAGATACATCCCTACGTTATTTAAAATAAAACATGCTATTATAAATCATAGGCTTCCAGGAAGCATGTCTTTAGTGTAGCATATGGAAGATTTGACATCCCTTTCATCTTTCCCAGATACATAAATTTCAAAATTAAAAATTCTTCCAAGACTAACTAAACACTCCTAAGATACAGTCGAGGATTTAGTTTTTAATTTGTCAGTCGTTGTAATTTTAAAAGTGAAAACTAAAAGCCAAAATGGTAAGGTACTGACCAGAAACATATCAAAAGGTGAAGACGAAGTAATTCAGTGTGAGCTAAAACAAAGCTATTTTCAACCCAACACAGGAATCCATGAAGATTACCAGTTGCCATACTACGACCTTGTTCCTTCAGATCCTTCTGTTGAAGAAATGAGGAAAGTTGTGTGTGAGCAGAAGTTAAGGCCCAATATCCCGAACAGATGGCAGAGCTGTGAGGTATTAACTAACCTTGCTAAAGCTGCTTGAACGGACACTCGAGCTGTTACTGGTTTCAGTGACTTAAAAACTGCTTGTTGTTGAAGGGAGACGGGTTGCTTCGAGGAGAACTTCATTTGATTCGCATCATTGTGGCTTTATTGATCCTTGGTTACGCACTAACGTTCAGTATAATTTCACAGAAATTAATAGCTAGCCCTGCGGGGGCGATTCCTGGATCCCCTCCTGCGAAGCGTTAGGTGCTGGCACTGTAAATTAAAATTAGTCTGAATTAGATTACGCCGGAAGCATCCTGCAAATAAACAGTGTGACTGTTTCTGTGGGAATTGAGTTGAATTTCTTCGTAGTCGCCCGCATGGGGCCGTGCTCTGGCTTTGTGCCCAAAAGAGTTTGATAGCGTGCTGATGTTTTTGCTATCGCTGGACGGAGCTTCAAGGCTTCCTTGGAGTTTTATTCTGTAAATAAGAATTTGAGAGCTTTACAGATTTTCGAAACGCGGGAATTGGCTGAGACAGAGGGGAGGGTTATGTGGGGCTGTGTTGGAGCAGCGGGACATATAATTTCTTGTCTTCCCTCTTTGCAGGCGTTACGAGTGATGGCCAAAATCATGCGGGAGTGCTGGTACGCCAACGGAGCTGCCAGGCTAACAGCTTTGCGCATTAAGAAAACATTATCGCAACTTAGTCAACAGGAGGGGATAAAGATGTAATCCTGGATTTGCTCCCGAAGAATACTGTAAAAATCCATATCTGCACCAGAGCGGCGTGTTAAGAAGGTTAATTGTTCTACCTCATCGGGGGAACAGAAGGATGTTGCTGCCTTTTAATGCTTCATAGGAACGTCACTTGTTAGGAGTTTTGTGGACGTGCTAAACAGTTGTGTTGGGTCCTTTCTGTGCACTACGAACCTCTTTCCCAGGTTACTTACCAAGCCTTGTGTAGTCTAGCTTTATTTTTATTAACCTGCAATTTTTTTTTTTTATTTGGAAGATTGATAGCTGGTCTTAACTTCTCATTAAGTGTGCTGAAAACAGGAGGTCACTTTGCAACTGCAGCTTTATTCCTGGCTGGTACGTCTGCTGTTCCGAAGCGCTGTCGCAGCTCCTCGGTTCGGATTGGGAATGTACCATTGGTGTAGACTTCACTAGCTCTTAAGGTGGTGTTTGAATTCTTACCGTGATTTCCAAATTGACCTCATTGGGTTGTGGGAACATAGCTTATGCAACTACACTGTATCCATGATTACTGGGTTGTTTGGTTGGTTTTCTTCCACTTTTTCAGAAGATCGCATTGCCTTCAAAATAGATTGTATTATACCAGTAAGTGCCGCTTTTGAGTCTTTTAATGCAAAACAGTAGGAGCGTACAAAGCCGATGGTACTTTTGGTTTCAAAAATGCAAGTTAAGTATCCGCTGTTCCTTTGCCTAGCTAAGATCCAATTCACACTTGTTGCAGCAAGTGAATTCGTGGAATACCTTTAATTTTACCAAAATCCAAGTCTTTAAACCACTGTTTTAAATAGCGTAAGCTACTTAATTCACTGTCATATTTTGTCATTGTCAAGTCATGAGTCATAATTATATGTAAGATTTTCTTTTTTATCAAGTGGTACTTCTAAACTGCTTGAGGTACCTCTCTACTTCAGAAAAGTAGCGAGAGATGTTCTTAAGGAGCTTTTGCTCCATTAAATCAAATCTGAAAAGCATCTTTTCTGTGCAGTTCTGCAGAGTCGTAAGGCTCACAGAACAACATTTGCAATTAAATGAGGATTAAGTGCACCTGTAATTAGGGAGAAGTTATTTGGGCTTTTATGTGCAGATATTTTGTGAGCTACCGAAAGTGGTGAGCTGCAGGTCCTTGGATTCACGTACCGGAGGATTCCAGCAATCCTCCTCAGAGCTGCAAGAACAGAGCTTACAGTGGCTTGTGTCGTCGCAAAACCACAGAATTCGGTGAGTGGCTTCGATCAAGATTTGCTGGAGGTTTGAAAGCTATCACAAGGTTTTTGCGAACTTATTCAGAAATCGCATCGTTTCCTGCCCACATGTACAACTTCTGGAGGGGACTTGGGGCATTAAGATGGAAAATTCTCTTTTAAATAACTGCTGTTCCCAGGCTTTTTTCATTTTTCTTTCTTTTTTTCCTTTTAATTGCAGTTTTAGGAAGGGTCTACCTGACCTCTGGTTTTATTAATGCCCACAACACTCAGCAGTATTTCAACATGTAGATGTGCCTGATAATTAATATTCCACCTAACCTTCTCTGCAGAAGACACAAGTATCCATCCCATCCTGCAGCGTGCGTAGCAGCCTTCACTTCGCTTCCTTTTCCTTGGGAAATTTTTAGAAAACAGTTGGGTTTAAACATCTCTACAGCTGACATGCTTACGTTTGTTCAACGTTGTGTGATCAGTCAGGCTTGGATCAGTCAAAGCTGAATCCAAAAATGACTTCATATAAGTAATTTAAATCAACTGTGCCTTTTGTGCACCACAGAGTTTTTCAGTTCTAAAAATAATGATTGAATATAACTAAACTCCCAAGTCAATCTGCTTGGCGTGGCTCTCTAAGGGGTTCTGTGTCTAGACAAATTTTAAAGAAAACAGGTCAACATTGAACTAGAAGTTACTCTATCTCCATACTAATTTCAGAAGGCTTCCTATTTAAACAGTTTGTCAGCTTTGTTAAATTTTGAGGGGTTTGCAGGCGTAGGTGGATCTTTACCATAGATACAAAGGGTCTCATTCCTACTTGAAGATCATCAGGTGGCCTCTTGCGCTTCAGATCTTTATAGAAATCTCAATAGCAATTTGAGAGAGCCTCCAATATAATTTGCCAAATAATTTTAGTACTGGCTTTTTTAGCACCTACAGAACATTATCACCATCGTGTTTTAATTTCCTGAAATATAAGGAGCATTTAAAAGAGAACCTGCAGCAAGGGAACAGCATCGTGGCACGCAGGTTCTGCAGTCAGCTCTGTGGTCGCCAGCTGCACCTTCCTCATCTCAGCCACCTTCTGGTCCTCACTCTCCTGAAGCAGCTGTTCTTACATCGTTCTCATTTTTCGCTTTGTAATAGAAGCTCGCAAAAAAACCCAAAAAAAGCACAGGAAGGATGCTTGGTAGGGCGTGTGATGTTAGGAACGTAATTTTGGGACAGCTTTATTATTCATATTGGAATGCAGAACAGGAAGATTCTGAGTAGAGCTATATGTATCCTCAGTTCTGACACCACAACTTCAAGCCCTGCTCTTCTTTTCCATTATATAAACTGAACACCTTTTACAAAGGCTGTGTCTGTATATATTATGTAACTTCAAATGTTACCTGTGTAAGATCATATCTTATATGTATGGACACAGGTACACATGAGTATTTTTTAAATTAAGATTGTAATATCACCAGATCTGCTCTTGGAAATCCAGGGGGACCAAAATATTTTAGCATTCAAAATATTAATTTTTGTATCATTTCAAGTATATACCAAAACAGTTTCTGATGAATACTGATGCAAATGTTTATTGTAAATATCGCATACCTTATACATTCGCTTAAGTTTTGTGGGTTTAATCAATTTGACATTTTAGTAGCATCGAAGCCTCAGTTTGGTTTACAGACTTGTGACCAGGTGGACGTGGAGGATAAGGAGCATCAGAAATGCTCTGACGCCGAAAAGCCTGAAACGTTGGCTTTGGAGTGCTGGAGTTCTTCAGGGACCTTCCAACCTTTAGAAGATGGAATTGCGAGATGTGTCCCAAGCTGACTTTCCAAGTGTGACCCAGCGTCACCTTCCAGCGGTTCCACTTGTACTCCTGAGAAAGACTTTGTATATAGGTAAAGACGTTGGGATTGACTGTACGGGGATGTGAAGGTGTCAAATGAAATAAGAGGCTATTTTTATTATTTTTTCAGTAATGGTTCTGTGTGATGGCCATGAAATACACCTTTTAGTTCCTTGTTTTATGTTGTGCCATTGAAACGATTGCAAGGTGTTAATCATTTTGTGTTTGGAAAACAAAAGGCTTCACCATATCAGTTGCTTTAAACTCAAAATTACCTCTTAAAAGACCAAGGTACATTTACCTCATGTGTATATAATGTTTAATATTTTTCAGAACATTCGCCAGGTTTGCAGTTACATGTTTCTAGAAGACTGGGTATTACTAAATTGCAACTTTAGCGGTACTAAATGTATTATCTGGTGCCCCGAAACACTTTAATTTTCTGTATGTTATTGTATTAGCAAGTTTGCTGCTTTGTCACTGTAGCACCTGCCCTTACATAGCTGTGTGGATACTGCCTTGTAAATTTTCCTTTTTTGGATGATTTGAGGATCCTGTACAGATGAGTGTCACTTTTTTAAACCTCACAAAATTGCGCGTTTCCCTTACATTTCTGAAAATATGTATTGTATTTGTAGAGTATACATTTCAATGGATTGTAAATAGGACAGTAGAAGAGTGGATGCTTATGTTAAGTGCTAACACTACAGTAGAGAGATTAAAGCAGTGAAAATAAATAACTTTTTTTTCAAAATGCGTGAGTTGTCTTTCAGAGGCGGAAGTTACAGGTAGGTAGGGGGTTGGGTGGGATGTTCTCACCTGGCAAAAGGTGGGATTACTGGGAATTCTTTTCTGCAGAAGGAATTTCTGCTGGTACCGAAACGCTAAGGGGGGTTTGCTAATGGGGAGACAGTCCCGGCTCATCACGCCAGACAGATGACAAAGTGCCTGATCTTCCTTCTGCCCTACAGTAGCTGTTGAATAAGCACCTTACTGGTGTCTCTGATCTCTTGGGCAAAATAGTTACTAACACCAGTGTTCCTTCTCTCAGTGTGTGTCTGCGTGGAAGTGACGGAGCTGCTGAGGATTTCGAGCTGCTCAAGCAGCTGTTTGAGGGCAGCACAGAGCAGCGAGGGAAATCAGCTTGTGTCGGAGCGGATTGTTTCCAGGCAAAACTCAGTTTTAGAGTGCCGTTAACCTTTCGGGAGGAAGGTGGAGGTGTGAACACAACAAAACCCACGACATCTCGCCCTTCTGGGACTCTGCGTGCAGCCGTTAATTTTGGCGGAGAGATTACCAAAAAGTGCTTCTTCCAGCAAACTCTTTTCTCCACAACGGGGAGCAGCGAGGTGGCCAGAGAGAAGCCAAGAGCTGTGTCAGAATGCCGTGTTCCTGGTCAAAGTCTCTCACGGGAGGTGCAGTTGTTCGGCTGAGAAGTTGCCTCTCGCCCAGGAGCAGCTGGAGGGAAGCCTCTCCTACCGCTGCACCTAACCAAAGTCCGGTAACGTCCCGAGTCCTTCCTCTGCATCTCCTGGCAGAGAAAATGTGGTGCCTGGAAGTAGCACAGAAGTTAGATTATTATTAAGTCTAAATTAAATTATTAAATCTAATTAAATTAAATTATTAAATCTAAATTAAATTAAGAAGTTAGTTATTAAATAGTTTTCTGTGTTCTGTGCTTTGAGGGACCGAACTTAACAACTGCAAACCCGTGAGCAGCGAACAATTACCACACGTTACTCGCGTGTGAGGACTGTTGTAAGATGATTTGGGAGGAGATGCTGAATTCAGGAGGTCTGCGTGGAGGTTGAATTACAAGTGAATGTGAGGAGTGGCAGACTTTAAGCTAGTTTTACCTGATGTAAGTGTGTGTATATTTATTTTTAGAGTGTGGGACTGTTTTGGTTTGGTTTTTATAATACTCACTATACTGAAGTAATATTTTGCAGAGGAGCAGCTTAACTAGAGCATGTGTAAACCAAACCGCTCGTAGGCAGTACCAAGTAAGTATTGCAGTCTTCCTTTTGACATTTTATGTGAGCCAGATTGGGAAAAAAATGAAGTGCGGCGTTCCCGTTGTTACCTTGAGTAGACTGTGGATAAAGCATCCAGAAGTCCTTGGGAAACCCACAGCCTTGAGTCTTCTGAGAGTGCCATGAAAAATCCAGTTTAAATGGCCAGTCTCTGCGAGGTACCTGAAATCATGACCTGTCTCGTGAAGAGAAAAAAGGCCAGAGCAGCCTGTGCTGAGAGGGACCTGTGCAGAGCT